CCTGACCTTATCTTGCTATCAAGATGGGTTCAGGTGACTAGAGATGGATATCGTGGAAGGTGTCATCCCCATCGCTGGTCGATCCTCCAACATCCTTGATCTATTTATCGGCCCCTGGTTGGAGTGGCTGCGTGGGGGCCTGCCCCGCACAAGGCCTGGAGGAGGAGGAGGAGGAGGAGGAGGAGGAGGAGGAGGAGGAGGATGAGGAGGACGAGGACGAGGATGATGACGAGGACGAGGACGAGGACGAGGACGAGGACGAGGACGAGGACGAGGAGGAGGAAGTGGGAGGCACCTCGTACAGTGGCGGCCAAGCGTCTGCGTCCATGACAGGTAAAGGCGGCGGCCCTACACGCTAATGGAGGAAATCCGTTGAAGAGAGGCAGGGATGAGGGACAAGGGAAACCACTAGACCTGTAGCGCAGTGCAGGTGTGAAGGAGAGGGAGGGAAACGACGAGGAGGGTCATGACTGTCATGGCGTGTAAGTGCGTTTAAGGTTTATTGGTCATGGCGTGTAAGTGCGTTTAAGGTTTATTGGTCATGGCGTGTAAGTGCGTTTAAGGTTTATTGGTCATGGCGTGTAAGGTTTATTGCTCAACTTCTTGTTCATCAAGGTAATCATCGACTTCCTCTTGCTCGCTCTCAAGCATCGAGTTGCTTTCTATGTTGAAGCTTTCCTCCTCCCGCTCGTGAACAATTCCCAACGACCCGCCGGTCGTCCCGTGCCCGTCCACATTCCTCTCTTCCACTTGTCGGGTGAGGTCGTTGCCTTCTCCTCCCTCGCTCCTCATGCTGTGCTCAGCAGCGCGCTCATGCTGTAGCTCAGGGTCACAACGACATGCATCCCGCTGGTCGTGTCACCTGCAGCTTATACGCTTGCTCTTCCAGGACTGCCATGGGCTCAAGCAGCTGTAGACCAGGCAGACCGCAGTCCCCGTCCGTCTCGATGCTGCCGTAGAGCCCGCACTTTGCCACGTCCTTGCTCCACACGCCGTCGTACCTGGCGAGGTCGCAGGTGAGCACAAGGCTGGGCTGCTGCTCCTTCACCGCTTCTTCTTGGAGACGTAGAAGAAAGTGCCAGGGCCATCTTTCAGGTCCAGGGCGTAGTCGCCCTGAGCTACATCAACCTGCCATGCCCTCCCTCCCGCTGCCCTCCTTGGCTCACCTGATACACGTCACCGTTTGCCAGGAACAGCGTTCCAGCTCCATGCCGCTTTCCATTCTCCCACATTCCCTCGTAAACCTTGAGAGCGAAGTCAGATGCCGAGACCAGACAAGAGAAGAGCAGTACAGTCCCGTCGGTGTAGTTCATTCTTCCCTCGCCATGTCTTTTGCCGTTTTGCCATCTGACGGTCACGGGTCAGGAGGAGCAGCGAGCAAGCAAGCGTCTCACTCTCCGTCGTACTTTCCCCCATCCTTGTATGCAAAGATGCCCTGCTCAGCATGAGGCCCGCGCTAGACAGGAAGCACACTCACATGCCCATGCCGCCTCCCCTGCCAAAAGCTTCCACGATACTGCAGGATAAGCTTTCCTTGCACGTTTGTCCAGTGCGTCCCGAAGCCAGACTGAAGAAAGAAGAGAGGAGAGTAAAGGGATGAAGAGAGAAGAGTAACGGGATGAAGAGAGGAGAGAAGAGAGCTAAAGGGATGAAGAGAGGAGAGCTAAAGGGATGAAGAGAGAAGAGCTAAAGGGATGAAGAGAGAAGAGTAAAGGGATGAAGAGAGGAGAGCTAAAGGGATGGGCGAGCAAGGTAATCGAGGAGGAGTGGAGGGCAGGGATTATCTCATGCCATCACCTGCATGTCTTCTCTGAACTCGCCTTCATACTTGTCGCCATTCTTGAACAGGAGGGTCCCTTGACCGCATTTCATGTTCCCCTCATACTGTCCGCGGTATCTGCAACGACTCCATCAAGAAAAGCTCCATCGATCGGTTCCCCTTCACTTGTCGCCGTTGGTGTGATAGACTGTCGCGTGCTCTCCATGCTTCAACGACAAATGGTCCCAAGTCTTCCACAGCGGCTCAGCCTTTGGTGACTTCCACGGAAAATCGTGAGTTGTTGCTGCAAACAGAGCAGATCACTCCACCTGCTTTGAGCGGTTGTCACTGGTTCTCAACGGGCTGCCCACGCTCGCGTTGCTATTGGAAGGTCGCCGTGCTTCTGTGGCCATGAGTACCTGACTTGAGCCATGTGAGCATATTGTAGAAGCGACCTTGTTTGTTTCATCACTTCTCCGCGAATATATCTCTTGCATCCTCCTTGCAGGACAAGTTACATGCCTACTGCATTCCTTGGGTATGTCTGCGTATCCATGCCTCGCCTAGATAGCTTTCCACTTCATACACTCTCGATACCTCATCTCATCTACTCTACTCTCATCTACTCTCATCTCATCTACTTTCATCTCATCTCGCCCTCGCTCCCTCCCTCACGCCCTTTCTTGCTCGCTTGCTCGCTCGCTTACTCGCTCGCTTTCTCCCTCCTCCCCCCCTGCCTGCCTGCCTCCCTCCCTCCCTGCCTGCCTGCCTCCCTTTTCCCTCCCTCCCACCCTCTTCTCTCTCCCTCCCTCCCCTGCCAGCCTCCCTGCCTGCCTCCTCTCCCTGCCTCCCTGCCTCCCTGCCTGCCTCCATGCCTCTTCTCCCTGCCTGCCTGCCTGCCTCCCTGCCTCCCTGCCTGCCTGCCTGCCTGTCTGCCTGTCTGCCTCCCTCCTCTCCTCTCCTCTCTCCCCCTGCCTGCCTGCCTCCCTCCCTCCCTCCCTGCCTGTCTGCCTCCCTCCCTCCCTCCCTGCCTGCCTGCCTGTCTGCCTGACTGCCTCCCTCCTCTCCTCTCCTCTCTCCCCATGCCTGTCTGCCTGCCTGCCTCCCTCCTCTCCTATCCTCTCTCCCCCTGACAGATTGCCTGCCTGCCTGCCTCTTCTCACTCCTCCCTACCTCCTACTCTAAACATATTTTCGTTGTGCAGCATGGAAGCCACGACCACATCCCCACTCATGTTCTAA